CCTTGATTAAGCATAATAAGGTGTACACTTAAAATGTATTATATTAATAAGTATGTTTTATAAATCCAGTAAAAGAGAAGTACAAGATTACAAGGCCCCAGAGAATGAGGATCTGTGCAATGTATTTTTTCTTATAAAAGCTCTGCCCTGTTTCACACACTGACCACAAACACCCACTGTGACTCATAAGTTCTGTAGGCTATTCTTAACTTAACTGTATCTGATAAACATCAGCAGCATTTAGCAGGCGCTGCAACTGGTACCTATCAACATTTGTAACATTTAGTAGAGCAGAGAAAAATAAAAATTGTCACTACCAGTTTTTCAGATCGTCTATGTTGCTGAGCTGCTGTAGTGTTCAATTTTCAGCTGCTGTCTGTGATTATCTAAACATCAATGACCGGTCAGATATATATATATATATATATATATATATATATATATATATATATATATATATATATATATATATATATATATATATATATATATATATATATATATATATATATATATATATATATATATATATATATATATATATATATATATATATATATATATATATATATATATATATATATATAAAACCCTAAAATGCAGCCAGTAATTAGTAATGATCCATTTTGCAGTTTTCCCCGCTTACCCCGCAACCCCTCAAAGCGCAAAGGACTCATGTCCCATGGAGAGCTGCGCCCCGCACCCCTGACAACACACATGACCCTGGGACTCCTGATTGCCCCCACTGTGAGAGAGATGGCAGGGGGAAGCAGTGGGAACCCCACCTGTACTGAAGAGGGCCCCGGCAAGGAGAGGAGACAATGGGCCCCTAGGCCCAGGAACACCCCACCCGCCCCAGACATAAGCAAAAGCCAGTTTTCTGAAAATTAGCTTGCAATAAGAAATGTTAAATGAGAAATAGAAATTATATAAGAAAGGTTTACTTGTAGGGAACAAGTCCTGAATTAAATGTCCCCATGTGCCAGGATTGTGCCATGAGCTCTGGCAGGTAACAGGTTTAAGTACCCAAGTGCAGGACGCATGACTAAGCAGGGGGATTCTTAAGAGAATTTTAATCTAAATTTTAAAGAGGCACTCAACAACAAGAGGCATTTTAAAAATAACGAAGGAAATTCACTTAATAAAGGTAATCCAAAACGGGGCTACTAGTAGTAGACCGAACTCTTCGCATAATGACTCCACCACCTCGGGGTGGAGTCTCCATTCCCTGGGCCTCAGCCTCTGTCTCGACAGCAGGTCTGCTCCCTGATTCTCAAAAATAAAATTGAATTGAATTCTGAGTCCCAGGGACGTATATCGCTCGGAGGGACTCTGCTGGGACCACCGGAGGATCTGATGTGTCAGTTTGCATAACGGGCGCGAGCGCATGTGCAGTAGTCCGGAAGGTATTCTACTGGACGCTGCTGCTAGGAGACCCAACACTCTCTGAAAGTGTTTCACAGTGATGGCGCGGCCTAACTGCACTCTGGTCACTGAGGATAAAATGGACTCGACACGTGCGGGAGACAAGTTGGCCCGCATCGTCGTTTAGTCCCATACCACCCCTAGGAACGTAGTCTGTTGGGCGGGCGTCAGCACGCTCTTCTTCGCGTTGAGCCGCAGCCCCAAACGCTGAAGGTGGGCGAGGATGACATCTCGATGCCGAACCACTAACTCTTGAGACTGGGCCAGGACGAGCCAGTCGTCGATGTAGTTCAGTATGCGGATGCCCTGGAGCCTCAGCGGGGCCAGAGCTGCATCCATGCATTTGGTCAACGTGCGGGGAGAGAGTGCTAGGCCGAACGGAAGAACCCGATACTGGTATTTTATCCACCCCGAAGATCCAAAATCGGATGCAATCCTCCGTCCTTCTTGGGAACAAGGAAGTATCGGCTGTAGAACCCGGCCTCTCTGACCGGCGGGGAAATGAGTTCTATGGCCCCTTTCCCTAGCAGAGAGCGGACTTCCTGTCCCAACACCTGGCTCTGTTCTGCGTGTACTGAATCTGGGGGGGCGAACCTGGAACTGCAGCCTGTAGCCATCCACTACTGTGCGCAGGACCCACAGGGAAATGTTTGCAAGGCTCCGCCAAGCTTCCGCCAAGGGGACCAGCCCCTCGGTGTCCCGCAGGAGTCCACGGTTTGTGAGCCCAGTCGTGTTCCGGCGGACAGACCGGTGAGGGCCCGCTGGTGGCTATCGCGTCCTGAGCACTGAAGCGGTGGGAGAAACAACACATGTTGCTGGAGCCTGACCTGCGGGGGAGATATCGCTCAAATGCCTCTCCCTGAATTTTGGTGTGCTGGAACCTGTTGACGACAGCATCCACTGCTACGCCAAACAGGCCAGTAGACGAGAGGGGCGCATCCAGGAGAAAAGCCTTTTCCTTCCCCTGGATGCCCGAGAGATTGAGCCATAGATGGCGCTCCGTAGCCACCAAAGCTGCCATGGATCGGCCGATGGAATGGGCCGTTTCCTTGGTCACACGGAGAGCTAAGTCCGTCGCTCTACGGAGCTCAGTCAGGTCCTCCTCAGAGGGACCTCCCCCTACGTCACAGTCCCGAAGGAGATCGGCCTGGTATGCCTGCAAGATAGCCATCGTGTGCAGGCTTGCACCAGCTTGACCGGCTGCCATGTAGGCCTTGTCCACCAAATCGGACGTCATCCGATACGGCTTGGTGGGGAGCGCCGGCGTCCGGAGGGATGAGGCGAGGTTGGGAGAGGGGTAGCTAGCCAGCGCTTCCTCCACCCGTGACCCGTGGCATCGCTCAGTAGCCGTGCTGTCTGATATCCGTCACGTTGCCATAGTCCAGCCGGGAGGACGTAGACAGCCGTGCAGAGAAGGGTTTGTTCCAACATCCGGAAAAAATGGTAAGGGCCAACGCGGGGGTGGCGCTCGGTGTTGGGGAAACCGCTCGTCTAGTTTACTGCCAGCCGAAGGCTGCTGCACCGCCTGTGGCTAATCAATATGCAGCTTGGCCACAGCCCGCATCACCACTTCCAACAAATCCTCGTATCCTGGCGAGGGCTGATGACGCTCCGTCTCCCCGAAGTCAATCTCCACGATGCTAAGCACATCTAGCTCCTCAGAGCCAGATCGTGCAAACCTCTCTGGACTCATACCTCGAGTGGGAGAACCCTGAAAGAGCATTCTCTGGGAGAACACTGAAAGATTCCGGAGACCGCAAAAAGGCCTCAGCCGTCTCGGCACCCTCGGCAATCTCGCGTTGTGATTCCCAGGATCGGAGCCACCGCAACGCCTCAGCGACCGCTGGGCCTGGGCCACGGGGGGAGCGCATCCGACCATCCTCTAGGAAGAGAGCCGCTCGAGACGTCAGCACCCTCAGGGGCAGGGCCTCGCAATGGTCGCAGGCAGCCCCCTCGAGAGCTACCTGGGCGTGCGACATCCCCAGGCATGAGATGCACATTCCATGGGTATCACCTTCCGTGATGAAGTGCTGACAAGGGAAGACACACTGTCGGAATCGCTTCGACATGATCTTCTGCTTCGTCTCAACTTCAGGTAAGATGATGGAGCTTCCAAACATAGCCAGAGTGCCTGCTGAATAGAAAGAAGCTAATGTGTGCCGGCATGCTTTATATACCCCTCACGGTTACGCCGTCACGCACTACCATTCTAGCAACACCAATAAGATTGGAGTAGTTTCATTCATAGTTCAGCCCTGCCACGCCCAGAGGCGTTCCCATAGTGTCGTCACCGACGCAGTTCGAGTTCCCTCGAAGGGGAACTGACAGATGAAACTATAGGTCAATCAGACAGACGCGCACACACAAGCAAGAGCCACCAGGCAGACAGACAACTTCCCCTGAAGGTCTGCCAAATAATGTTCCCCATCCCTTTGCAGAACTCCACATCATGCCCGTCCGAGAACGTTCTAGGAACGAAAAATTTCTAGCTGGGAACCAAACCCAAAAAAAGACCAATACAAAACCAGACAGGGGAACAGGCAGAAAACAGGATCAAAATACCGAACATACAGACCACAATAAAATCAACAACAAAACAGGCAGATATATCATACTAAACCCCCAAAAACCAAGGAACTACAAGGCAAAAACTCAAAGCAGGCAGACAGAAACCGTAAACCATATGGGAATGTTCTGCTTATGTGCCAAATATCCTTTTTGTAACGTTGCTATGTTACCATCAAATAACCAATATGGAACATTCCCCTAAAGTCATATAGGAAACGTTATTATAAAAGCTGTCATACGGCTTATGTCCCAAATTACATTTTTATAACGTTGCTATGTGACCTTAAAATAACATATGTAACTTCCCCCAAAGAAGGGAATACAATTATTTTTAATTAATTACAATTTATCATACAAATAAAGAGTTAAAAAATCATACATTGTGATTTCTGGATTTTATTTTTTAGATTATGTCTCTCACAGTGGACATGCACCTATGATGACAATTTCAGACCCCTCCATGATTTCTAAGTGGGAGAACTTGCAAAATAGCAGGGTGTTCAAATACGTATTTTCCTCACTGTATTTGTGCTTCGTGAGTTGCTTCCTGTTTAGCTGGATGTTGCCTAGCTGCACAGACAACAGAAACAACATGAGTGTTTTATGTAATGTATTTATGATGTTTAAAACAGAAAAGCCAGACTAATATTTTTACTTTTGATTACATGAGGCATTTTGTTGTCAAGTGGCCTTTGTATAAACGGGATAATACCAAACACGCTTTAAATCCCATGATAGTTATGGATAATGCAGGGACTAAGAAAAAGACATTTTGGACTCAATAATGAACAAAATGGATGAACAAAATTTTGTATATACATACTGGATACATAATGAAGACCATAGGGGGTTATCACAAAAATGTGACAATGATTTCACTTAATGACGTGTTATTACGTACATAAATGTGCAGGAAACCTCAGACCCTGCAGTATAAATAAAGATGGAGAGTAGAGGTGTGTGTGTGTGTGTGTGTGTGTGTGTGTGTGTGTGTGTGTGTTGGAGGAGGGACTACATCATTTAAAGAAGTTAGAAGTTCCTGGTTTGTCAGTGAAGAAGTCAGAGTCAGCAGTAAACCATCAGAGCCTCAACATGAAAGTCCATCACATTTTGATCTGCTTCTTCCTCTGTGAGTATTCACTTTGGATTTCTGTCTCTCTCTCTTGTTATGTCATTTGTTTTTCTTTTCTTTTTTGATCAGTAATGTTTCTCATGAGTCATTTATGTACTTAAATATGATAATTGTTTAGATATCACTTTTGTGGATATGTTCACATTTTTTTTCATATCTCATATCAAATGTGGATTTCAACCCCATCTCTTGCATTGAAATTGCTTTAATAAGGGATCTCTTTGAGAAGCTTTCAGTGTACATATAAGCTTGTACCTATCCTTTAAAATACCTAGTTAATTCATTTACAAGCACTTTACTTCCTCAAAATAAACTGCACATCAGGAAGGAAAGTGAAGGGCTCAAACTTACATGCTTACTTTGGTTTGTAATCAGTTTACTTTAAAATTAAGTTACAGCAAAACATCAAATTTCCCTGTATGCATTGCCAATTCACTGTTTCTATTGTCTTTCAAAAATGTCACATTTTTCATATTTTCTTTTACATGTCTGTAAACATGTAAATCTATTAACTGTTTTGTCAATAAAATGTAAAAAAACCCAAAAACAAATGTTGAGTTGAATCTTAACATGTGGGGCGGCTGTGTCTCAGGAGGTAAATCGGAAGGTCGGCGGTTCAATCCCAGCTCCCCCAGGCTGCATGTGGAAGTGTCCTCGGGCAAGATACTGAAACCCGAATTGCCCCTGGCTGTTCCGCCAGTGTATGAATGTGTGTGAATGGTGAATGCAGATGTAGTGTAAAAGCGCTTTGAGTGGTCGAAAAGACTAGAAAGGCGTTATACAAATACGGAGCATTTACATTTACATGTAGGACGAGCTGGCACCAGCAACTGATCTGCACTTTTTCTTTAAAAATCGCTAAAACAATTATCAAAATATTTTCCATTAATTGATTAATGGTTGCAGCTGTACTTTTTTTCAATAACAAAGTGCAATTTTGTTGCTTTTTGTTGTATTTTTATGGTGAAAAGGTTTGTTTTTTACTTTACCCTGACCGTTCGTGGACTTTGCTTCTCACCATTTGAAATAGCTGCTACATGTATTTGATTTTTCAAAAAGAAAATTACACAAATCGAAACAGGAAAACTGTATTGATTTTAGAACTTTGTAAAATTTGTAGATATGTCAGTTATGTGTTATGATAAACAGTTCCATAGTGTTTTGTTGGAGCTCTATTGCTATTTCTTCTGCTATATATTTTGTGTCTTGCGTGAAAGACCGTTTTCCACTCTGGTTGAAATTAATATTCGATTGTAAATGAATGTTATTACTGACATAAAAACAATAAATCAGAGTTTCATTAAAGATTAAATGAATGTAGTTTTAATACCTGTGTTTTGTGCTTGATTGGAATCTTCCTCAGCCACAGACTGGTTGAACTGGGCAGCTCCCAGTGTGACGTGAAGCCGCAAATGTTGTGATCAGACTGCAGCATCTTACAGGAAGTTGAGACAGTAACTATTGTTGTTCATCTTAGAAGCAGCTCAAGCGGGTGACCCAACAGGGTTTAAGAGGTTTTAAACATCCAAAGAACTAGAACTGTAAAAACCAAACCAGGGGTCTAGTGGAGACCTGCGTTTATTTGTCAAAATGTTTATCCACACCAGGCCAGTAAACTGGATAGACGGCTATTTGGGACTCGGCTGTTAATTGAAGTTTTACGGTAAATGTGAAGCCGCAAATGTTGTGATCAGACTGCAGCATCTTACAGGAAGTTCAGACAGTAACTATTGTTGTTCATCTTTTCAACAGCTCTGCAGGATGGAAACACTGGTCTCACCAATGCCCAAATGACACCTGTCTATACAGGAACTGAAGGAGGAGATATCAGAGTTACATGCCCCTTTTCTTCATATGGAAGGTCGATGTTCTTTTGCAAGAGAGAATGTAAACCAGAGGACATCCTCATTCACACAACTGGTGTCAGAGATCAGAGAGGCAGATACAGCATCACATATGAAGGAGGAGGATTTTTTTTCGTGAGCATCACACAGCTGACCAAGTCTGACTCAGGACGGTACAGGTGTGGTCTGGGTGAATTAATCACAGAGCTTGAAATCATTGTTGTAGATGGTGAGTGACTACAAGTCCTTTTATGTAAAATGTTTCTTTCTTGTCTGAAGAAACACTGATTTACTTCCACAAATATGTATCTCTGTGAACTGTGATTAATGTTCACTTCAAAGAAACAGGCTGCTAAAGTGCAACTTTGACACACACAGTTGTGTTTCCATCACTTTTGGGGACATTACATTGACTTATATTCAATCCCTGGAGACCTAACCATAACCACTACTTGCCTAAACCATAACCTTAAACACACACACACACAACAGTTGATTTTAATATTAGCGTACCACACATACGCATACTTATTGTTTCTGTTGATATATTTGTGATTAAAAATGTAATATCAGTGTCAGAAGCTGATAAATGAAAGCTCACATGTTTGGATGCATTGAACAACATTTTTCATACGGTTTCATTTAAACATCAGTGTGAAAGTTTTAACAGTTTGTGCTTCTGAAGTGAATGTTTTCTTTAACAGGTGTGGTTATTTGTTATGTGTTCTCCTGCCATCACAGAATATTTATATTTATTTTATAGAATATAAAAAAATATATTTCAAATGCAAAGAGGAAATTAACAGGTAAAAATGAATCCAAATCAGTCACAGACTGGTAGAACTGGGCAGCTCCCAGTGTAACTGGGGGATCACATTTGAAACTGTAATTATTGTGATCAGACTGCATCATGTTAAGTACAGATAGTAACTATTGATTGTTCATCTTTTCAACAGCACTGCTGGATGGAAATCCTTTTAAAGAAAAACCCCTCTATACAAGAGCTGGAGGAAATATTGTAGTTGGATGCTCCTTTATTTTCTGTGGAAGCAGGAAGTACTTTTGCAAGGAAGAATGTGGAGAGAAAGACATTCTTGTTGAAACAACTGGTTTCACAGCTGAGAGAGGCAGATACAGCATCAAAAATATGGGACAAATGATGTATGTGAGCATCACACAGCTGATCAAGTCTGACTCAGGACGGTACAGGTGTGGTCTGGAACAATGTGTCCCACCAGATTCTTACCGGGAGTTTGAGATCATTGTCAAAGATGGTGAGTTTCCACTTAAAGTGAAATGCAATGAATGAGAATGAAAATGTTTGTTCATGTCTCTGGAGGTCTTTTTGTTGGTGATTTAAGTTTTCACTGACAGCTGCTGATGTTTTGAAATTCCCATCACTGTGAGAAATTTTCACTTAAAACCAACAGTTCAGCTGACACACAGACACAGGCTGTAAACGCACATTTCTCTCATCAGGATTTCTTTGTTTCTGCATTGTTGTTCAATGAAAATGTTCCCATTTAAATATTTTCCCGTAAACCTCCCATATTTTTAACCTTTTTAAAGAAAACTGTAAAAAACCCTACTGGGCATTATTTGATAGGTTTGCTACATTCCTTTCTGGTAAAGCAGGTGGCAGTAGAATATTAGCTCTATCACTGAGTGAGACACAACTGACATCTCAGCTTCATCAAGATTTATTTCAAACAGCACACCAGATTTGTACAACCGACCAATCGTGAGTCTAGAGGCTGGAATGAAAGGTAGTGAAACATAAGCTCCCTTAATCGGTGGGACTTTCTCTATAGTGGTTACAAATAATAATGGACCAGAGTGATCAATGGCTGCACCAAAATCTTTTGATTTCAACAAAAAGTTGAAGGCATTGTGCTCCAAAATCAGCTGAAGAATGATATACCCATGATTCTCCCAAGGTTCAGTCATTTTTACTAGCGAGAGTTAACATAACTGTTAGCAAGTAGTAACTGTAGAAAATATTGTTCCTATGGTTGCATGCAGTGTCATATACCTTCAGTACTGATTTTGAACAGTGGCTAGATTGTTCTCTGGAACTATGTGTGACGTGTCCTGTTACATGATTTTATTGGACACCCACCAGCCAATCAGAAATGAGTATTTTCCATAAACATGGTATAACAATGCATGTAGAAGAAAATTAAATAACTAATCGTTATTTGACTTTTGTACACCTTGATGAGATCACAATGGGAAATAACTCAAATTGTTCCAGAAGATTCTTCTATTCAAGGAATTAAGTTTTCTTCAACAAAAGATTCTTATGTGAATATAGACAATATATATAATATGTGAATGTGTGTATTTATGTAAACTATATCAATTTGTTTTTAGATTTCGCATTTTTTGTTTAAAATAGGACAGTTATTCAGGTGTTAAGTTTGACAGCACTACATTAACTGAACCTCAGGTCCCACATGTTAAGTCATCATTCATCAATTAGAAAGCATCTTTTCAACAATCTTTTTCTTCTCTTCAACCTTACACAGATGCGCTGGTATATGCTGTCCCTATTTTTGTCATCATTGCCATCATCTTAGGGCTGACACTGAGAATCTGTATTCAGAGGAAAACTAAAACTGAAGGTGAGGCAACTGGCACACTTACACAGTAACGCCAATAAGTGAAACTTCCCATTACACATTTTATTTTGACAGTGTGGCTCTCCTCGTAATTCTCTGAAGAAATCTGAGCAAGCATGAAACAGATTGTCCCTGAGCTCACACACCCACAAAATGTAATGAACATGAAAGACATGTTAAAGAAACAAATTCATGAACAAGTAAATGCTAATACATTAGGAAAGTGGGGAGGTGGAAGGAGTTACATTTTAGTAAATAATTGAAATTTTTGTATCAAGAAAGAGACTTTAACAGTATTTCTTAGTCATATTAGGGATTGCCTACCGGGCACTCGGCCAGTCCAATTATACAGGAAGATTTTTCTCCATGAGAATTGGTGTTTTATCATTGGCGGCAATGTTGACCTTCCAACCTCACATGCACTTTCAATAATAACTCATCATAATAGAGAAAAATACTTTTTTTTTCTGTTTCGCAGGTTTGCAGACCAGCGAAAATTCAGACAGAGCAAACATGGAGGTGACTTCCTTTAATTGTTTAATTACCCTCAGTGTTGAATAAGATGTACCAGTGCAGGTGACAATCATTAGAAATTTTCCAAGGATTAGTATAAGGGTATATTTTAATAGATGGAATTGGATTAAATAAAACAGATCAACCTCTCTTTACTTAACTCTGCTGTTTAGTCACATTGCTAATGTTGCAGCGCTGCTCTCCTTTACGAAAGCCTACAGCTCAGCATTTCACTGCACACAGGAGTAAAAATTAGTGTGCTGATATAAAAATAATTTGGGCTCACAGTGAATGGATCTTGATCTCTGACATCCAGGTTGGCAATTTTAGATTGACTGTCGCATTCAGTGCTTGAAATGACAAACGTTTCACATTTCTGTGAGGGCCATGTCTTCTCTCTAGTTGATTGAGTAACATCAACATCAATTTCTTTCTATTTTTTCGCACGTTAACGCAGTTTTAAAAAAATCCTTATTTTGAAAGTCCATTGGCTCTGAATACGCATACAGTCAAACCATGGGTCAAAAGAGGAGTGGGATGTTGATCAGCCTGCAAATCACCCCCCCAAACAAGCAGTGGTGGGAGGCTTCGGCAGACTATGCTGTCATCTTTTTTCCCGTATTTTTGCACCCACAATCCTTTCGCGGCAGCAGGTGAGGCGCTTTTGGGGTTGTTAATGACGCAGCCTGTCAAACAACTCAAACAACCAAAACCCACATCTGCACCCTGTGTTCAATGCTGCATTTAAATTAAAGGGGCGCAATAAACTAGGGGAGAGCTGGGACAATTGAAATGTGGGACTAATGAAACATCGATTTTCTTAAAGCCCATACAAGTCTGACATGCCAAACTACCACAGCACATACAGAACACAGTACTTAACAGAACTGGGAAAGGTTAGGTGGATACGTCACACTAACCAGAGTTATACGAAAGAAGTTGTTTTCAGTCACAGAAAGTAAATTCACTCAAGCGATAATTTTTTTGTGTTTATTGTTTCATGTGCCATGGTCATGATCACATGAAAGATTAGTACTTTAACACATCCTGAAGTTTTAAATGTCAAAGCTTTACAGTTTAGAATCTAGTGAAGTTTAAACGTCAGGAGTCAGGTGTTTCAACCGTCCCGACACACAGCCATTCTACCTTATTTAGATACGGCAGGAGGGGGCAGAGTCCACTAGGCTGCAGGCTGGACCACCAGGATACTTACAGCCAAATAACAGGGTCTTCACAGTAGACCAGGAAAACAGGCTGCAGATGTACATAAAAAGGGCAGCCAATATCTAATCCAAATAATTTTTTATTAAAGAGGTGGTATTATGTTTTTTGGCTTTTTCCCTCTCCTTTATTGAGTTATATATCTTTTTTTGTGCATGTAACAGGTTTGCAAAGTGAAAAAGCCCAAAGTCCAGCCCAAAGGGAGTTCCCATCTCCCACAGCAAACTCTGCTCTGAACTGCCTGAAAACAGCTCATTTGAAGCCCAGCCTTTACTTCCGCTTTCTTGTGATTCACAAGAAAATATGTGTCATAATGCTCGCTGAGCGACTATTCTGACAAAGCGGTGGAAAAACAGTGAGCTGCAGCACACAGCTCTCCTCTCCCTTCCAAACACTAACTACCCTCCAGGCAGTCAGTGGACATGAAGTTGTTCCTGTGATGTAGAGACAGAGCTCAGTTAAAACTTTATGGATGAAAGATACTTTTGTTACAGAACTCACCACTCTGAAACTCTTGCTCCAGTCCATGTTGCCAAGCCTACAGCTGAACCAAAGCTGTTTACCGGCTTCTCGCTGACCCGCCCTTCTCTGCTTCTGATCGGCTAGTAGTCCTTAACTAGGAACTGAGCATGTGCAACTCCCAACAAAGATCATTTAGAGACAAGATGTATCACTCCATACCTAAAACGAAGCCTTCAACAGAAGGTGAAAAGAGGAGCTGCAGCAATGTGCAGTATGACAAAAAAGATGGTGTTTTTTGAAAATGAAGCCATTTAAACCTGTTCTTGTACAACCCCTTAATAGGATTATGAACCTGAAAATGAGCATAGTACTGCCTTTAAGAAAAAGGACATAATGAGACTGCAATTACGTATTAAGAAGGGCAGTGTCAAGCGTTCTAAATAAAAACTAGAATAACATTAGCTATTCTGGTATTGATAGAACACACATGTGAGCTGTTGATAATAACAACAAATGATTTCTGTCTGTCAGTCATCCTGGCTCTCCCCCACTTTCGAATTCATTATTCAATTTTGCTCATAACAATGTGATAAAAATCTTTACTTTTTTATTTTACTGTATATTGTGTATATATCTATCAATAGACACTCAATAAGACAGATTTTACCCCATAATCATATTTGTAGTTAATGAATCTCTACCACAAGGAAATGAGTACCGCGACTTTTAAATGTGCTGCAATATTTTGCAGGTTACTTTAATTTATATTTTTACTTAAGATACTGAATCTAAAACTATCAAAATGATCTAAAAGTTTGGGAACAGTGGACTCATAATCACATAATCCTCTTTCTTCACTGTCCATGATTCAGATGTTCTTCAAAATATAAATAACCCTCATGCAGAACTATAACCATGGGTGTGCTTTCATTCTCTGTGAAAATCTTTGTTTGTTTGGTTTCAGCTTGCTCCATATGAAAACTCTCCTCCAGTTTCTACATCTGAATCCACCTACGAGAGCCTCGATCCAGCCAGCAGGGATCAGAACCAGACCTACGCTACACTCACACACACACACACCACATGATTCTATTTGTATCTCACTTTGCCATGTTCTCAGTTATTCAGGTAGATTGACACTCTCCCATTCTCTGAAATCATCCATGATATCAGTACCACAATAAGAGCTACTGCTATTAATTTAACACACACTTAAAGCCTAGCTTATGCTATCATGAAACCTAAAGATGTTTTTTTAAATTACCAAAAAAAGACAATGCCAAATTAAGTTAAAGCAAAGGAAGGCAGTAAGGATTGGCCTCATGGCCGAGCACATGGACTACCACAAAACTAACAACTCAGTACAGATGTGATGCCAAATTTGTCCACCATGTGGCCAAGGGGGAGCACTTAAGGAGATGCTTGTGTGATTTCCAAGTGGTCCAAATAAAATATAGGAAACATTACAGATAGTAATAAGATGTCAATTTATTTTTCTGCATTTAGTGTTCATTTCAGCCTTCAGTCTGGTGTATGTCACATCACTGTTTTGGCCAATGCCAAGGATGATGTTTGCTTACGCCTAAAGAGAGGGAGCACAAGCAACAGGATGCTGACTGCAGATCAGTTAACGACCACCTGTGTCATCAATAACAATGGTTTTCTGAAAGTTACACAGATAATCTTTAATAAAATGCTTCCAAAAAGAAAAGCACAAGCAAATGAAGAAAAATATAATATAGAAAAAAAAGATTTGTATGTTTTTTTCAAATGGCCACCATACATTCGTAGAGTTTTCTTTCACATGCCACCAGTAATAATGATGATGATAATAATTCAGAAAAGCTGCTTTTGTGCAAATGTAAATATTTGGTACAATGCTGATCACAACACAAGACCTTGTTGGTGTGGTGCAACTTTTTTTATCCATTAAAATTGTTGTGGATATTCGTGGTTGTGAGAGGATACTGCTAGGCTTTCAAGCATCTTAGCTGCTGCCTGGGTAATTTTTACCAATGACCATCATTGTCAGCCAAGAAGTTGAACCTAAAGATACACAAATGTATGGTTTCTTGCTGTTTGTGATAATTAAAATGGCTCATACAAAGCCAAAGTTGTAATGCTTCATGATTTATTTTAACTATTTACCATGTCATGTCAAAATTTTCTGATTTTCTTATAATGTAATATACAAAGTAGGTACATGGATGCTGGGCAGCAAAGAAGAAGATAGAAGATACTTTATTGTCACATACACATACATGAAGCGAAAGTCATTCTGTGCATTTAACCCATCCCTAAAGGGAGCAGCTAACTTAACTTGTGCAAGACAATGTGTTACACCTTATATTATTAGTATGCTGATGTGAATTCTAAACAAAATAAATAATTAACAATAATAATAACAGCACGATTTAGTCTGTGCAGCTAGCCTGCTCCAGACCAGAACAGCCAGGCTTGGTGCGTTATCTGTTCCGTTTGCAGTCACTTTGGTGGAATCAAGTCAATTCAATTCAGTTCAATTTTATTAACAACAGTTATCTCACAGCGCTTCATAAAAGAGCAGGTCTAGACCGTACTCTGATGTTATTTACAGAAGCCCAACAATTCCCACCAAGAGCAGCACTAGGCGACAGAGGCAAGGAAAAACTTCCTTTTAAGAGGCAGAAATCTCAAGCAGAACCATGGCTCAGGGTGGGCGGCCATCTGCCTCGACCGGTGTGGGGAGAGAGAGAGAGAGAGAGAGAGAGCAGCCTACACAATATACACACACACTCAGAGGACAGTAAAGGTGACGTTGCTATAGACTAAATGAAAAATGGTACAAATACATACAGTAATGTTTATGAAAACAATAACAATAGGACTAGTAACAATAGTTGTTGCAGCAGAGGGTGTCGAGCAGGAACACGGGGGCAGCAGGTGACTCGCAACCACAGATCCAGAGCCAGAAAACCTGCAGGAAGTGATAGGAGGAGAGAGGAGAGGGACGAGAAAGCACAAGACTACCGGAAAGGGGAGAAGTTGTGTTAGTAACATGCAATAATGGGATGAGGTTGCATACAGAGGGAGAGAAAGTAGAGGAGAGAGGAGCTCAGTGCATCATAGGAAATCCCCCAGCAGTCTAGGCCTATAGCAGCATAACTAAGGGATGGTTCAGGACTCACCTGAGCCAGCCCTAACTATAAGCTTTATCTTAAGCCTACTCTTAAATGTGGAGATGGTGTCTGCCTCCTGAACCCAAACAGGAACCTGGTTCCACAGGAGAGGGGCTTGATAGCTGAACGCTCTGGCTCCTAGTCTACTTTTGGAGACTCTAGGAACCACAAGTAACCATGCATTCTAGGAGCGCAGTGCTCTGGTGGGGTAGTAAGGTACTATGAGCTCTTTAAGATAAGATGGTGCCTGACCATTAAGAGCTTTGTAGGTAAGAAGAATGATTTTAAACTCTATTCTGGATTTTACTGGAAGCCAATGCAAAGAAGCTAAAACAGGAGAAATATGATCTCTTTTCCTGGTTCCTGTCAGAACACGTGCTGCAGCATTCTGGATCAGCTGAAGAGTCTTAACGGACTTTTTCGAGCATCCTGATAATAAGGAATTGCAGTAATCCAGCCTAGAAGTAACAAAGGCATGGGCTAGTTTTTCTGCATCATTTTTAGACAGGATGTTCCTGATTTGCGCAATATTACGTAGGTGAAAAAAGGCAGTCCTTGAAATTTGCTTAATGTGAGACTTAGACGACATGTCCTGATCAAAGATATCTCCAAGATTCCTCAATAGTGGTGCTGGAGGCCAGGGCGATGCCATCAAGCGAAACTATATCTTTAGATAATGCGTCACGGAGGTGCTTAGGCCCCAGAGCAATAACTTCAGTTTTATCTGAGTTTAACATAAGAAAATTACAGGTCATCCAGGTTTTAACATCCTGAAGGCACATTTGAAGTTTAGCTAACTGATGAGTTTCATCTGGTTTGATCGATAGATATAACTGAGTATCATCTGCATAACAATGAAAGCTTATGGAATATTTCCTGATAATATTGCCTAAAGGAAACATATATAAAGTGAAGAGGATTGGTCCGAGGACAGATCCTTGTGGAACTCCATGACTAACTTTGGCGTGCATTGAGGACTCATCGTTAACATGTACAAACTGAAATCGATCTGATAAATAAGACTTAAACCAGCTTAGAGCGGTTCCTTTAATGCCAATGAAATGTTCCAGTCTTTGCAATAGGATCTGATTGTAATGATCTGGCTGTGCCACCTCCTCTGCCCTCATGTTTTCCTCCGTCCCTTATTGTTCCTGTCAGTCTTTGTCTCGTGTGTGTGCGCATGCATGTCTCGTAGGGGCGGGGTGTTCCAGTTGGTCTCCCATGGAACTCCACACCTGAGGCTCATCACCATAATCAACTCCTGCTATAAAGACCCAGCTCAACCTCCAGTTAGTGCCAGATCGTCCATTTACCCACCAGTGGTAACTAGCGCAAGGCCAACTTTTTGAAGGAGGACTTATTGATCTAGTCTTTGACTTCACTGACAGCCTGTGTTTTCTCCCTTTCCTCCCAGATCTCTGCTCTGTTCATGAGACAGCAGGTTGACAGCCCAGGGTTCTTGGAGCTTGGTTTCCCCAGCCTGCCTTTCCGCCTCAGACCCACGCCACTCACCTTTGCAAATTCCATAACCTGTCAATAAACTGTCATACTGAGAACTGATCTGCCTTGAGTCCGCTTTTGGATCCCTGCGAAACAGCACCTAACACTGATGGTCAATGGTATCAAATGCAGCACTAAGATATAATAAAACCAGTACAGAGACAAGTCCTTTGTCTGATGCAATAAAGAGGTCGTTAGTAATTTTCACCAGTGCTGTCTGTGCTATGATGAGCTCTAAATCCTGACTGAAAATCCTCAAATAAACTACTACTACTGTAGAAAGTCACACAGCCTTTTTAGCAACTGCTTTCTCCAGAATCTTAGAGAGAAATGGAAGGTTAGATATGGGTCTATAGTTGGCTAAACATCTGGATCAAGTTTGGGGCAATTCAGAAGAGGTTTAATTACAGCTACTTTAAAGTACTGTGGTACATAGCCTGTTGATAGAGAGAGACTGATCATATCTAGTACAGAAGTGCTGACTAAGGGTAAAACTTCTTTAAGCAGCCAAGTCGGGATGGGGTCCAAGAGGCAGGTCGATGGTTTAGATGAAGAAATTATTGAAGTTAGTTGGTAAAGATTGAGGGAAGCAAAGCAGTCTAAACATATATCTGGCTTTACAGTGGTTTCGTTTGTCATAACCGGGCTCAAAGGCCATTACAAATGCGGAGAGGACACGGCGTAAACATATTTATTGCAACAACGAGCAGCCCAGGTGCTCCCAATCGGGTTTATGGGCGCTGATACCTTCAGGGATAAAAGGAGAACAGTAAACTGCCCAACACCACACAGTCAAACACCTCATACTAATCTCCATCAATGCAGAGGAGCACGAGAAAGTGCATCTGCAATAATATTCTGATCCCTTTTCATATGTGATATCCAGGTTATAAGCCTGGAGAAACAATGACCACTGGGTCAATCTCTGGTTGGGACATCTGAGCGAATGCAAAAAGGTCAGTGGATTGTGCTCAGTTTACACCACAATCAGCCCTCCTGCTGCTAGATAGACGTCGAAATGTTGTAAGGCCCAAATAAGTGACAATGCCTCTTTCTCAATCACAGAATAGTTACTCTGGTAACTGTTAAACTTTCTGGAGAAGAAACTAACTGGCTTCACCAAACCCTGGTCATCCCCCTGGAGCAAAACGGTGCCTGCTCCCACCTGCCTGGCATCTACTGGAAGCATAAAAGCTCGATCAAAACAATGAGCTGCTAGGACAAGAGCAGAACACAACAGCAGTTTCACATTATCAAAGGCTTGTTGACAAATAGCCGACCAATCAAATTTCCTCTTTGCCTTGAGCATTTCGGTGAAGGGAAACAACAGTGGAGAAATTTTTGCAAAAACCTCTATAATAACCCACAAAACCCAAGGTGGTGGGTTGTGGATACTCTACATACACAATACACTGCTATTGCCCTGACTTTGGCCTGGAGCCACACACCCCTGCCCTACCACACAGCCAAGATATGTCACTGTTGCCATGTCAAAGCTACATTTAGCCAAATTGATGGTGAGGTGTGCTTCCACCAAACGCTCAAACAATGCACGAATGCGCTGGAGATGTGAATGCCAGGTGTCACTATAAATGACCACATCATCAAGATAAACAGAACAACCTGTCAAACCAGACACTACACGATTCATCAACCGCTGAAATGTTGCGGGAGCATTCTTTAACCCACAGGGCATCACATTGTACGAATACAAACCTGAAGGTGTAATAAATGCAGAAACTTCCTGTGCACGTTTGGACAAAGGCACTTGCCAGTAACCTTTAAGCAAATCAAATTTGCCAGATTCCACCTGATCTATGCAGACATCCATGCGTGGGATTGGAAACGAGTCTGATTTTGTGACAGCATTTACTTTCCCAAAGTCCGAACAAAATCTTGGTGTGCCATCATGTTTTGGAACCAAAATACAAGGGGAGGCCCAACTGGATGCAGAAGGAACAACAATATCATTTTGGAGCATGTAATCCACCTCAGCATTCAAATATCTGTTTAGCTGGCGCCACGCAATAGAAACGCTGTTTAATCGGCTGAGTATCTCCAACATCTATATCATGTTCAATCCAAGTGCTACGTGAAGGGATATCACCAAACAGACATGGAAACGTGTTGTAACTCAGGCAGATGAGCCAACAACTTATCCAAATTACAAAGTGATTCTGAATTTTTCAGTCTCCCACAGAGCAAACTTTCGTCTGGCTCCAGCACCCCATCTGACTCACGTGCCAAAAGCTCTCAAGTCACCAAAAGCGCTGGGCACACAACATCCTTCACATCCTGACCTGCACGCTTGTAATAAGGTTTAAGGAGATTAACATGATACAGTCGTCGAGCTCTCTCCACAATATAGTTCAAATCTGAAAGCTTCTCACACAGTGTATGGACCAATATACTTAGCTTGAAACGGTGACCCCACAATAGGCACCAGTGCAAG